TAAGTTGCTGAGGAGATTACTGAGGTTAAGTACTGGTAAGTTACTGAGTAAGTTACTGAGGAAGTTACTGTCAAGGGTGGGTTCTCATTTACTGAAGTAAAGTACCGGTTGTCTGGTAAGTACTGGTGGTCTGTTATCCAGGGTAAAGTAGTGCTCGTGGTCTGTTGCTGAGGTAAAGTTTGTTGCCTGCTAATCAGATTAAGTATACGATATCTGTCTGCTAGGGAGATGAAGTATACGATATCTGTTGCTGAGGTGAAGCAGTGGGTTGAATGTCACTGAGGCAAAGTGCCGGAGCCGCCATGACATTGACCTGAGTCCTGATCCTGGTTGGGGGGTGGTCAGGGAGGGAGAGGAGGGAAGCCTGGCTCGTGCCACAGCCACACACCGTAGAGTACGAGGGATCTCTCTCTCTCTCTCTCTCTCTCTCTCTCTCTCTCTCTCTCTCTCTCTCTCTCTCTCTCTCTCTCTCTCTCTCTCTTCTGTGTCGGTATCCATCTGTGCTTCGAAAGTGACAATAAGGTAGACACAGTCCATACTTTGAATAGCAACATGCTTAAAAAGGACGTAGGCATGCATCTATCGTTTGTAGTACTTCGTACTTTTTTTATTTCTCGAACAAGACAGAGATCGTAAGGGGCTAGCTCCATATCCATTCTTTTTGTTTTTGTTTTTTTCTTGTTTGTTTTTTTCGTCTGATTGTGTCTGATCTTGAACTTGGGTCTGTATTTCAACTGAGCTAGGCCCGTTGGTCTGGGACTAGGCCCGTTTGTCTGGGACTAGGCCCGTTGGTTCCAGAATAGATATTCATTCTGGCGAGCGTCAGTATGGGACTCTGGGTCCTTTTCTCCCAGCAAGTCCACAAACAAATACATAAAAAAAGGCCGAGTGATCCATGGGCCACATTGATTACTCAACGACGTCCTTGTGCTCAAAACGGTTCCTTCCTTGGGCAAGTGAACACAAAAAGTTCAGTTTTGAAACTTTTGATTGTACTGTGGGACGCTGGACCAGTTTGCCAGCAGGTGCTGCTCCCCACCAATGGACCGGAGCAACCAGGTGGCCCGCTAGGAGGGGGTGCCCTTACCACCTCTCCTAGCGTGGCGACATGGTTATTCAGAAAAAAAAAACAAAAAAGACCACAAAAGACAACCCACAGAAAAAGAAAAAAAAGAAAAAAGAAAGTAAGTTGTTTCTTTTGTTCCTGTGCCCAAGGCTCACAGGCACGCTGAGGATGACACGATCACATGCAATGGAGCGCGGGCCAAGGTGTACGACGGGGGGGGAGAGGGAGGCGGGAAGGCGAGGGAGGGGAGGGCAGGGAGGCACGCTTATACACATCTAGATGTGTATAAGAGACAGTTCTTCCCCATCCTCTTCTTTCGCCTCCCTTCCTGACAAATTTTGCTATTTCTGCGAGGCAATCTCTCGAGTCTATTCCGTCCACATGTGTCATAAAGGGAGGGGAGGGGGGCAGTTAAGAAGGGGGGTCGGGGGGGGGTCAAGAAGGGGGTAATGCCGGGGAGGGGGTGTGGGGGGAGTTGGGGCAGGAGAGGACCCAGATGCATAGAGTGAGTGACAGTGTGGTGGGCATCCATTTGTCCTCGCTAAGGAGAGCAGAGAAGGAAGCATCAAGTTTCTCTCTCACCTTAGGCGCACCACTGACTGTCCCAACTGGAAGGGCTGCCCTCAGTGCATCCCAGCAGGACATCTCCTCCAGAAGCTCTCCGGTCACCTAAGCAGATTTCAAAACAAATTCGAATAAAGAGTAAATATGAGTTACAGGAATGATGATACTTAATGTTTCATTTAACTATATGAAATATCCACTAATTTATGAATAAAATTTATATTAATCAATATACAAAAAATAAAGATTCTTATATACATATATATATATATGAGTTAATATTACATAACAATTTCAATGAAAAATGAAATGAAGCAAAGATAAGGGATCCGCCATTGACAACAAAAGGAACATAAATCGCCGAAACGGGCAGAAAACAGTTTTTAATAGCGTAAAGTATATCATATACTTTAACTACTACTGCTCTCTCACAGACTCACAGTCCTGTCTGCAATTCATGATTGATTTGGGGCCTCGCTTTGGGGCCTCGCTCCACTACCCACCAATTGTGCAAAATAAGAATGAATATTCCGCTAGAACATGGAAAGATGCCCCTCCATACTTTTTGTCTTTTGTGCATGTGGTGCGTAGTGGAGCGAGGCCCTTGACCAACACCACTGGTTTGTTTTTTACTTCGAATTCAGATGGAAATATATATATATATATATATATATATATATATATTAATAATATAATTATTAATTATTAATTACAAATGTAAAGACTCTTCAGTTCCCCCTTCTTCTTTGGGACCACCTTCCCACTACTCCCCATCTCAGCATGCATCTGCACCTTTTTTTTCTGTTCTTTCTTTTTCACCCTGACTATGCTGATGAAATCCCTTTGGAGCTGTCCGCCCAGGCGTCCAACCTCCGGCAACGAAGCTCAGCTATAGAGATTGGTGCGTGCCATCTCCTGTCTTAGAGTGCAGCTGCTGCATCAGTACATGCCAGCATCAATTAGGTATGTCAACTTCTCTCTCTCTCTCTCTCTCTCTCTCTCTCTCTCTCTCTCTCTCTCTCTCTCTCTCTCTCTCTCTCTCTCTCTCTCTCTCTCTCATCACAAGTCCTAATCACCATTTTCCTCTCCCTACCTCTATCCGGCAGCTATGGCGCTCAGGCACCCTTCCTAGCTATGGCTACTGTCTCCCCCTTCTCTCCTGGCTGGGGATGTCTTCTTCTTCTCCTGCCTCCTCCAGCGCTGACAGGAGCAGCGCTGCAGCCTCCAGCAGCGTAAGGCAAAATGCATGAGCGCGGATGCAACTCTTTTGTGGTGTTGACATGGCCTTGGTCTGCATCACTTTGCCTCCTTCAACGGCTGAGATTTCTCAATCTGGATGGCCCACATTTGCTTTCAGTAACAGCAATTTCGTCAAAACAGACAGTTTTTTTTTTTGAACGAAATCGGAACCACGAATAAATTGGCCCGATTCAGCCCGATTCAGGGCAAAGTTTTGACAAATTTGAGGGCCCGGCGTTCCTAAAACGCTGCACCCCTTGGATTCCAGCTAAGTCGAAATACATCCAGGTGGTCCAACATTTTAAGAATGCTGGACCGTCAAAAGCTACAAATTTTGACCTGAATCGGGCCAATTTAGTCGGTTAGATTCGGTTTCAATTTCGTTCAAAAAATAAAAAGTGTCCGCTTGGACAAAATAGCTCTTCAGTCAATGGGCGTCGCGCCACTACTCTCTACATGCACAAAAGAAAAAAAAATATGGCTGTGTATCTTCCATGGTAACCCCGGGCCCGGACACCGAACACTTCTGGACTGTCTTCCGGAACAGTGTCCGGACCGGTCCGGGCTGTCCCGTGATCCGGACATCACCGGAACCGGACAGTCCAGACCGGTCCCCGGAGTGCCAAAATGTCCGGACCGAAAAAAAAAAGACGGGGGTGGGGTTGGCAGGACAGAAGGTTAACCGACTCCCCAATTTTCACCCCCGTTTATAAGAAAACCAACGGGCCATTTTAACCATACTTCACACCAATGTGTAGAGTGCACTTCTTACTAACTTATTGTAAAAARAAAACCGAAAAAAAAAAAAAAAAAAACATATAAAACAGCAAGCCAAAAGTGCACTTTCATGAAATTTCACCAACATTTCAATTTGTCGATTTTCACGATTTTTTTCAGGGTTGTGAAGGTTACACTAGGGGTGAAAAGTGGGGGTACCTGTTAACCATTTGTGGGCACTTACCTGCTTTGCACTCTGTAGTTCAGGCAGCAGAGCACGTGTCTTGCAGCAAATCAACCAGCACATTTAACTAGCAGACATGCAGAGATGTAAACAGTGCAAAGCAGGCACAAGACTAAAGAAACAGAGAATTTTTTTTTGAAAAAAGTACGATTAACTTTGAACTTTGAACTTTGGATTTAGTAATTTAAGTCCATAACTTCATATATATAACTTAAAAGTTCGAACTTTGCAGTTCAATTCAGAACGTCAGAGTCTTCAGACTG